CTGTCTTATTAAAAGAATATCCTTGTGCTTTGTATACTCAATCGAAAGACAAAGGCTAAGTAGTTGGTATGGACTATTCACAGGAAGGGGAAAAAAAAAGAATTCATCAAAGAACCAATTCACCAGCATTTCTGCCGGGCCAGAAGACAGGTTAGGAAGAGTCCGCTAAGGTGGAAAGAGGGATTTGGCCACTGCTCCAGATGAGGGGATAAACCAGGCCGTTGGTCTGAACTAGGGTTTAAGGAGAGCTGCTGTGGGACCCAGAGAGGATAAGGATGAGGGTACGCTTACAGGACACTACATGTGAATTGCATGTGTGAGTAGCTTCCGTACTTCAATGGTCAAGGAATTCAAATACTCTAAAGACAGCATTGGAGTAAACATTTTTGATATTTGAAAACTGGGTTTCCTAACAAACATGTATACCCGGATGGATATTGCTTTGAGTGCATGGATCTGCTTTTCAAATTCATAAACGATAGATTCTCTACCCACAGTATTTCTGTGATTGTTTTTCCTTCTCAATTTGGGCTTACTCTGCTGCTGTGTCGCCCAGGGCCCTGGCTGAAATGACAACACTGCTAAGTACTTAGGAGCCCTCTGCATTATCCCGTGGGCAGGAGGGATTATTTGCTCTTAGGTCAAAAAAAGCCTCATATTTTAATACCTGCTGTAATCCTCTCTAACATAAACCTGTTAAAATGCAGTAGAGAATTCCGTCTGCCGCCTCTGAAGATAAACGAGGCAATCACAAGCTGTAAATGAAGGGGCTGGATCTTAAGGAGGATGGATGACCTCGTGTTGGCGAGTGGGAGGGGGCGAGCGTCCCTGTAGAGCAGAGGGTCAGGAGGGGAGCAGGCCCTCAGAGACACGCAGGGAGGGCATTCCCGGAGACCTGCTGGCTGCACGGCTGTGGACTGCCTCTGCTGCAGTTTTTGAAGAAGTGCCCTGCTCGATCTGATTCTGGGGCTGCTGGCTCGTCCTGCCTCTCCGACTTCCCCGCTTATCACTAAATCCTCCTGGCGTCCACTCACCACGGTGTATTGCTCTTCCACAAGCTCCGGCGGGGACCTGTCTC